TCAGTCAGTGCCTCAAATGGGGAGGAGTCTCTACGTGAAGACTGAGCTTTTCTACTCCACACATCCATAGCAATTCCTAGCAAGTCCACAGTTCCTAGCAATTCATTCACAGTCCTCTTTGGAAGGTAGAAGACAGGGTTAGTAGATCTGGTGTATTCTGACTTCTACTATGGGAATTTAAGGGAGATTTTTATCCCGTAAAGTCAAACTCAGCTCAGCTGAGGGTGGAGTCTTAGACTAGCTAAGCATCAAGAAAGGAACACAAAAGAGAGAGGATTCTTTTTTTTTTCAGACAGAATGTGACAGTCCCACTGTCCTCTGGCTGCCATCAAGTAGGCTCCAGGTTGAAATCTACACTGTTTTTTGAATTCCTTTCAAAGATTCTGAAGCTTATGGCTTTCACAGCAGGTGAAGGAGGTTATCTAGACTTGGCCAATCATGAACGGAATGCTACAAATTTGGACTAGAAGCCTCTTTCAACACCAGTGTACAGAGTACCCAGTTCCCTGGGTCAGTGCAGTTATCCCTGGAGCCACCAAACCTGATAAGGATTGTAATCTTTCCTGAGTTCAGTGTCTGTAGTCCAGGAGATGTGAGACTTTGTGACACCATTGGACTCTGGTCTGCTCAGCAGTAAAATTGTCCTAGGTTTGTGAAATATTAAAGGAAGGACATTGTGTGAGGACTGAACCCCTACACCACCCCTTCCAGGAAAATCAGGGCCACTAGTCCTTCTGTCTTAGAGAGTTAACCCCTGCAAGATTCTATAAGTATTAGGAGTGCCACATAGGAAGCCTAAGGGAGAAGAAGCAATTTTGAGGGAACTTGGATGATACTTTGCCAGCAGGGAGATGAATATTAGCCTTGGAAATGTCTAAAGGAAGACTCTTTGAGACTAAGAAGACTCTGCAAAATGATTAGAGGCTTTGACCTCCTCTGAGGTTACAGAGGGGCTCAAGTCTTGTTTTTAAGAAAGTCTCCAGACAGATCGAGCAAGGTATTGATTCCAGGATTCCATTCTGGGAGGTTGAGGGAAGGGAAGGTTTTCTACATGGAGACAGACTCTAGTTCTCAGAGGAGTGGGAGGAGACTGAAAGGATCAGGAGTTTGAAATTGCCTCACAGAAATACTGTGACTGGTAACTGCAGTAGTATTTGCTAAAGTAGCGCTACACAAATCTCCAGGCAAATTTTTGGTGTAAACTCAGCTTCCCAGTTCTAAGACTGGAGTTTGAGGAAAATGAGACGTTCTAGGTAGTGACTGAACTAGATTGGGTCTAGCTTAGGTTTAAGATGAAGCTGTTTCTCCGCCTCATTTTGCATGGGGAATGTGAAAGATGTTAGTCTGTTTTGAACCTGATTTGGGTCAGAGGTCACTGTGACTAGATAGCCACTGAGAGGGAGGTCTTTAAGAGAGGGCTGGGAGGGACCACAGACATACTTATAGGGGTAAACCAGTTCCGCCTGTTTAGGCGGTTCCCTGTGCTTTAGCCATTTTAGCTCTGTTCTCCATGCCTGAAATCTAAGGTAAGATTTTCTCGGAGGGGTCTGTGAGGGCCAGGAGGGAGAAGCTAGAGCCTATTCTCTCACTCAGGAATACTGGGTGAGAAGATCTGTCTTCCCGAGGAGTTGGTCTGGGGGCCTTTAGGTCAGGTTATTCATCTAACAATGTATTTCGCTAAATTCTGTTACAAGTTGTCTTAGAGTCTCAAAGAACGAAATCCACAACCTGAATAGAGTGACAACTTTACTTCTGATCATAAGGAAACAGAAACAGTGGAACATGTACATCCAGGAGATAAGGCCCAGGCCTTCTATCCCTAATGGGGGAATTTGGCTGTTTCTCATTTGATGAAATCCAACCTCACAGTCTATTCTTGCTTAGGTCACTTTGAAAAGCAGCACCAAAAGGAAAGGAGAGAAGGTGGAGGGTTGCTGGCTGGAAAGGCACTCTGCTTTTTTTTTTTTTTTTGCTTTTGTTTGGTTGGTTTTTCCTTATGGTTTATTTTAATGAGTAGGGAGGGGTGCTTTGCCTGCGTGAATATCTATGGACTGTGTATGTGACTCATACCCATGGAGGACAAAAGAGAGATTTATATCCCCTGGGACTCGAGTTACAGACACTTGTGAACTGCCCTGGGGGTGCTGCAAATTCCGTCTGGGTCCTCTGGAAGAGCAGCCTGTGCTCTAAATTACTGAGCTATTTCTCCAGCCCAACATTTTTTTTAAACAAAGACAGAAAGTTGTTTTTACTGCCTAGTCAAATATTCCTGGGGCATGAAGTCAAGTAGGTATAGAATGATGAAACCTCTCACAGAAGGACATGTATTTGGGAATGAAAAATGGAAGTCTAGATCGTATGTTCAGTGGTCAAAGAGGAGAGTTCTAGGTTTATTGTCAAGTATTTGACAGAAAAGATGAAATGTAATGCTTTTTACAGTTCTGTGTTGGAAGCTGGAGGGACATGAGGCTTTTAGATGTGGTGCTGGACACGGGTTGGCAAATGTAGAGTTCTAGAAATCCATGATTGAGGAGTTTCCCTACAGTAAGATAAGGGTCTTGGTCCCACAAGCAGAGTTAGTTTCTGAAGGAATCTCTGTTACTAACCATGACTCACACTATTTTATTTCTCCAAATTTCATGTCTGGAGATGATGGAAGTTTAACTTCTCTGGAGATGGTTTGAGACACAGGTTGCTAAGAGAAAAGGCTGGGGAGATCTTGTGGATTTTATAGATATACCCTGGTTCTTGTTTTCTTGAAAGAATGAATTCAGTGACAAAATAAGTATAGATCATTAGGATAGAAGCTTGTTTAGCAAAGGTAAACAAAGCCAACACTCCAAAGAATGGAGTAGCTGCCCTAAAAGTCTGAGCTACACTGCCAAGTGTATAGAAGGAAGTTTTCAAAAATTTCATCTGTGTTCATTGGGTATGTGACTTGTTCCTAGGATAAGGTGATTGACAGGGCCTCTCCTTTTAGGGAGTTTCCAGTCTGCTAGAAAAGCATTTAGAAAATGGAGACAGGGTTAAAAGCATAAGATAAGTGACAGAGCATTCTAAAGTTGTTACTTCACATGTGTGAAGAAATGTTCTTGTACTTTCCTATTGGAGAAAGCAACAGCATACAAACTCCACTTCAAAAATGTTCAGCCACAAAGGTGCATTCTTTCAGGAGACACAATGATCAGGGTCCTGCTGCAGTTTCTGCAGTTAATTCCTGTCTAAGTCCTTTTCTTCCCAGCATTGTCTAGAAGGCCTTAAAGGAGGCTAGGGAGAAGTTGCTGTGTTCTTTGCCCCTAGAGATAGAATTGTACTGCCTGTGCCAGCCCAGGAAGACATCCCTGCCAGGCTGAAAGAAGGTGAAACAATATATGATTTCCTGTTTTCTGTTCTGATAGGCCAAGGGAATTAATTGAGACTATAGAGGAGGCTGCTAGAATTCATTCCCAACGAGGTAAAACTTGAATGAGAAATACAAACATTCCTCTCATCCACAGACATTACAGCAAATATAATGTCTTTGCCTGCATGCATATCTATGGACTGTGTATTTGTCTCAAACACTTCCTGTGAGTGGGGGCTTCAGGCTGTATCACAGTTCTAAATATTTTCCCCATATTTCATTTCTTGAGTACATCGAGAGGTAGGGCTTTGTGGTAGAGGGCGCTCTACTCTCTGATGATTCATATCTTTCTGGGTAAACTACTGAGTTTGGAGTGGAGTATTCTCCCCTCCCCCCAGAAAAAAAGTGAGAATACTGATTCTGTTGTCTAAGAGATTACTTTAGGGTACTCTTGTTTAGATCATGGTTCAAAAAGCTTCTTTCCAGGTGTATCATGACCAGAGTCCACAAAAGATGAGGATATGGGTATAGGTTGGACTTAGGACTGCTGGAAAGGAGCCCTAGATAAGACAAATGTTCAAGTGAAAGAGGATTATCAGGGCACCAAGAGAAGACTGAGGGACATCCCTTCTTCAAAAAGAATGGAGCTAACCCTGTCTACTCTGGCACTCATCTCTGGTACAGTATAGGCTGGATAAACTATGCTATTTCTTAGAATCTGTATTGATAGTCTGTTGTTATTGAGGCTTTTGGATTGTATAGTTCCAACTTCATAAACATTAAGGCAAAAAAGATGGTGGAGGATTAGCAGTTTTCCCTGTCTCCATAAATATTAGGACCTCTATTCCAGTATTTCCAAAGAGTTTCCTTCTTGTCTAGAGGTTCAATATCAACTTTTGGATGAAAGAATTTGTTTCCCTGAATTCCATGTGGGGAATCCAAGGAAGATGAACATTTTTAGGTCAGCAAAGGAAGCTGTCCCAGCACTGGGAAATATTGAGGAGAGACCTCCTAAAAAATAAACTGAGGGTTGTGATGGAGCCTTGGAAACCTCCTACTCCTCCATGTGTATAGCAGTTTGGGCCTTGCCTTTCCCAGAATTTTTACCAGGAAGCATCCAGAGTGGGTAGGCTGAGGGTGGTGAGTTGTTTGGAGGAGGTAGTGAGCCCTATTCATTTTGGGAGAGTCATAGCTTTAAGGGTTAGGGTCCTAGAAGGAAATTCCCCAACCAGTACAGAAACAGATGACTGTGATCCTTAACTAGGTTGTGCCCTGGGAATTACTAGGCAAGGTTGCAGCTATAAACATTGTTTCCATAAATTCAGTGTCAGGAGTCTGTGGTATCCGAGGCTTTGGGGACAGAAGAGAACTCAGGAAAGTCCTAATCTGGGTGGGAAGACCTTGAAGGGCAGATGGGAGCCTTCCCACACTAACAGAAATAATAGTCTTTAGTCCTCTTTGACCAGATTGTGGCTCTGGGAATATCTAGGCAAGGTTGTAAATCTAAACATTGTTTCCACAACTTCAGTATCAGGACTATGGGACTTGAGGATTTTTTAGAAGAGCCTAAAACTGGTTCAGGACCAGGCTCATCCTTGAATGGGAGGAGCCTCAAAGAACAGGGGCTTTGCCTTTCCCTACAAAAAGAGGTGTGGCCAAACTCGCTTGCTCAGACTTTTGCCCCAGAGGCTTCCAGTCTGTTCCAGCTTGGTGGCTGCTACCTGGAGCTCTCTGTCTAAAGTCTAAGAGAGGTAAGGCCTTTTGTGAGATAGCATTGGGATTAGTGGAGTACAAGTTCTAACCTCAGGAAATATTGAGGAGAGAGCTGTGCGGGTGAAATAAATTAAGGGAGGATTGGACTCATACATATAGGGGTCTGTACAATACTTACCTAAGGTACGATCTAGAAAGGGTAAGTTGTATGTACTTTCCAGCTTTCATGTGCGATACTGAAAGCATTAAGTCATTGAGAATGGGCAGAACTGGGTTAGGAAGGCATAAGTTCAAGTCTGAGCGAATACAAAAGAGAGGGCCTTGGAAGGACACTGGTGGAGAATTGAGAGACTTGTTTTCCAGTATTCATAATAGGGGTATATGAATCCTTCTATTGTTGAAAGGCTTTTAGGTGGGGAGCTAAACTCAGCTCATTACAGGAATAGTCCCAGCCTTGAGTGGAAATATGCTAAAGTATAATGGGAGCCTTTTCTTCCCTCAGAAAGGGCCACGTAGTCTCCATGGCTGATGTGGAAGCTCTAGGAACACCCAAGGCCAATGGCCTTATGTTCTTTGTTTCTATCTTTCATGCTGAGTTCATGTGAGATGAGGCTTCAGGGGAGGTGGCTGGACTCTAGTGCCAGGGGAGCAGCTTTAATTACAGGAAACATGGAGTTAGCAATGTGAGGATTTGGGGCCTACCCCTTTCTCACAGTTAGAGATAGGCTGTCCTACTTTCTCAAACAACATTCATTCCAGGAACGTTTCACTCATTCCAAGGATTCTACTTTTTCTAGTGTTTTGTAAGTTTAGGAGGGTGAGGCTTTTGTGGAAGGGTTGAACTCTAATTCTCATGTTTAAGAATGTGACCTTTCAAAAACAGTGAAAATAGGACCTTGAGAGAGCAGTTTTGTCACCATCTCCCTATAGAAATTGGGATGAATCCTCAGTGCTGCTTATCCAGACAGTTTCTTAAGTAGGCGCTAGGCCATGTTGCAGTACAAGGCATTTTGCTACCCTGAAGAAAAGGTCAGGGAATAAGAGAGGTAAGAACTTGACATAGGATATTGACATTGTTTTTTTCAGTTTAATTCATGCATGGAGAAAATCAGGGTCAGTCTCTAGTGAAGACTGAGAGGACTGAGGAACAATGAAGAGTCTGCCATTATCTTTCTTAGCACTGTGTGACTTCAGGTAGGCTGGACAATAGGACACTTCTATTTTTCTGTGCTGAGAAGCTAAGAAAGTTGGATCTTTTCAACAGAGTACTGGCAACCAGGCACTATATGTAGTAGTTCCAGTCTTGGGGGACCTGACTGAGGAAAGAGAGTTTTTCCTTCTCCCATAAAAATAGTACGGATATAGCTTTGTTTGCTAAGGTACTTGATTATAGATCATTAAAGGAAAAAATGCAAAGGAGGCTTATGAAGACTCTAAAAGAAGAGGAAGGGGATGTTTTGGGAAGAGTGAGACTCTCCTTTTACCCTTCAGAAATTAGTAGTGTTGGTCCTGCTTTATCAGGCAGCCTTACCAAGTACACTGAGACCAGGCATGGAGCAGCAATGTCTATAAAATATAATTTTATGTTGAGATTTCAAGAGAGCTCTGTCCTATGAGAAGAAGGCTGCATTTTAAAATTATGGGAGTGATTCTCTGCCTTCAAAAATATCTAAGAGACTTCTCCAGTGATAGAGAACTAGGAAAATTCTGACATAGAGTCCTCTCATTGATACTTTATAAATTTGGCACTCTTCTGCTGTGAATCACATTCCAGTTTCTTTACAGAAGTCCTCGCAAATTGAAATCATTGAAGTAACATACACCTCTCTCTGTCTGGAGCACCCACAGGCAGCCAGGAGGAAGGGAAGATCAATTCTATTACATTTATGGAGGATGTAAATGATCCTAACTAACGCTGTCAGTCCTTTCTGAGGGCATGATTGTGTTTATTTCCTAAAGTTGGAATTCCTCCTTTACACAGTGTAGTCTAGCACCCTCTTAAAAGTCTCATTACATCAAGGATATGTAACAATTCCAAATTACCTGGGACATCCCAGGGCAACTATCTAGAGAGTTAGGAATGCCTTACTTCAACTCTGTTATAGTAGAGAAGACTTGTAGTTCTTAGGGAAAAGCTTAACTAATATCTTACCTCCTCACTGTTGTCTGTATTCTCAGGAAGTAATCATCTTCATCAGAAGAGGAAGTTGTCTGGGAAAACGGAATAGCAGATCACCAGGGGGGAAAATCTGCCCAGAGTTCATCAGGTAAGAATCCTAAATTAGGAATGAGGACACAGTCCTCATTCTTCTTTGCAGGACAGAAGGCATGCTAGCTAAACTCAACTATGGCCTGCTCTTATCTCTTGAAGGAACTGTGTACATGGTCAAATGTACTTCTTGTCCTATCTTTTTGCTCAAAGAGTTGAATGATAAATATGAGGAAACATACCAGAAAACAGAAAACAGAGGGAGAAATATGAAACTTATGATTATAAAGAGGAGAAAGGGAGATGGGTGTAGGGGGAGGTACTGTGTGAGGAAGAGAACCAGGAGGAAGAGGGGGTTGCGATCAGGATTTAAAGGGAATGAATGAATAAATTAATTAATGAAAAAAATCAATGAAAGTGCCTCTAGCCTAGGAGCTCTGTGATCGCCGCATTTAGGTTAGCACTTCCTGCCATTCAGTTTAGCCTGATATTATTGTAAATTGTGCTCCATCACATTTGCTTCATTGTGTCAGAAATGTTTAGATCTTTCATGCAAATGTGATCTCAGTCTGTCAGATGGGTATAATCCATCCCTTCTTAGGGTAAACATGAACACATATGGGGGCTTTCACCCTAAAAGAGTCTTAAGTATTGTACATACATGAATATACACAAACATTATGATGTAGAACACAGAGACTCCAAATCTGACTTCCTGATATCAGACTCAACCATCTGGCTGAATCCTAAGACCATTTGTCATGTTTTTCTATAGGTTTCCAAAGGACAAGCCAGGTAGAAGGCTGCAGAACTCTGAGGATACTCCATATCACCTGGTGATAACCAGTAAGTTGCCTTTTGTCTGAAATTTCAGAGCATATATTGGCCTTTGAGGATGCTCCCTCTATTGTTTTCTTCCCTCCCTTCACCTTTGGAATCTCATCACTGACAGTCTTGTTTATAGTTTTGTTTTCTGTCTCCAGAAAGTCAAATAATGTCTCGCTACGGAAAGCACCCACGCCTCAGCCTGGAAGAAGGTGTAAACTTCCAGGACCCAACTGAAACGGATGAGGTGGTGTTCCCAGTGGTTCCCACTCCTGAGAATGAGGAGAAAGAGGGAGAGGAGGAGGTCCAAAAGGAAGAAGAAGAAGAAGATAGCAATAAGCAGGAGGTGGAAGATAACAGTGAGAAGGAAGAAGAAGACGAAGAAAAGGAGAAAGAAGAGGAAAATGAAGAGTCTGATGATGAAGTGGATGAGGAAGAAAATGAGACCGGAGAGGAAGAAGACATAGCTTCTATCTTTTCATTATCTTCTAATGTCTCTTCAGTTGCTTTCTCCCCTCCTTCTCCTTCTTCTTTTTTTTCTTCTTCTTCTTCCTCCTCCTCCTCTTCCTTCTTTTCTCTGTTTCAGAACAACCTGGTGGAGAATGAGGACTTTGCTCTTGGGATGCTAAGCATTTTTCAGAATGCTCAGAGCTTCTTCCCCTCACCTACTTTAGGGGGAAATTTGGATTATGCAGTCGGCCACCAGGAAGAGAGTTCAGGTGTCATCCTGTCTCCAGAAGACCCTGACTCCTTGCTCAATGCTGTAATACAAGAAAAGGCTACTGATTTGGTGTTTCTTTTCATTTACAAGTATAGAATGAAGGAACCCATCACATTAACTGAAATCAATGAGGTTGTCACTAACGAGTATGAGAACCATTTTCCTGTCATTTTCATTGAAGCATCTAAATGCTTGGAGATGACCTTTGGGATTGATATAAAGGAAAGTGATCTCGTAAGCAGTGCTTATGTCTTTGTCAACTCACTGAACCTCACCTATGAGGATATGCTGAGTGACAGTGATAGGCTGCCTAGAAATGCTTTCCTGATAGTTATTCTGGGTGTAATATTCATAGAAGGGAACTGTGCTTCTGAAGAAAGAATCTGGGAGTTCTTGAAACTGGTAGGAGTGTATGATGGGGAAGAGCACTTCATTTGTGGGGATCCCAGGGAGTTCCTTACCATACATCTAGTGCAGCAAAATTACCTGGAGTATCGGGAGGTGCTTAATAGCCAGCCTCAATGCTTTGAGTTCCTGTGGGGTCCAAGGGCCTATGCTGAAACTACCAAGATGAAAGTTTTGGAATTCTTGGCAAAGATGAATGGGTGTGACCCATCTGATTTCTCAGTCTGGTATGAAGAGGCCTTGAGAGATGAGGAAGAAAGAGCCTTGGCCTTAAATGACTCTGAAAATGGAAGCCCAAATGCATGGTTTGTAGAGCGCTGATCACTGGTTTCTTGTACCCAGTGTGAGGGATCCCTTTTGCCATGGATTCCCTCTAATTTTGAAAAGAGCAGTCAGGGAAAATCAAACCTAGGCTCAGTAGTACAGTCTCACTATGCTAATTGAGGTTTCCTTAACTATTTCATTGGGGGTTAATGTTAGATGTTACTCATTTTAAGGGAAAGTGTATTACCTCTAAACTCTATGATTGAAACTGATAACACAAATTTTACTGTTTGTTCAAAAAATAGTGGAAACATTATATAATGTTAAATTTGGTTGGTTTAATCCTTTTAGTCTATTCTGTAAAATTAAAATGTTGTATGCATTTCTTTTCCAGACTTTTGTAAGAAAATAAGACATAATAACAAATCTTAATAAAAACTGCTCACTTACTCATTCACCAAATCTTTTCTGTTTGGAAAACATATTGGGGTCAGGTACATAGAAATGTAAAGCATTTCCTTGCAGAAGGAATCACAGAGTCTGGGAATAGTTATCATACAAGGAAAATGGTCAAATATGTGTCAAGACAGAAAGAACAAGTTGAAAGAAGGAACAATTGAGGAGGTGAGAATTCAATTATCAGAAGTTATGTGCAAATATTCAGAGGCAGAATGGCAGAATTTTTGCACTTTGGGTAATTAAATGTTTTGGGGTATAATTACATTAAGCCATGAAAGGTATTACAAGTCACAGGCTTCATTAAAAAAATTAAAATAAAAAACAAAACAAATGAGCAACAGCAACAAAACCCTAAGTGTTATAACGTCCAAAGATCCAAGGATTTCATAGGAAGAAAGATATGAATCATTTCATTCTAGGTACAAATTATCGTTGCATCATTCTTTCCTCTAGCTTGGGGAAGTCCATAGTCTGTCTCTTACATGAAGATGGGTATTCTTGATTCTTTTGTACAAATTCAAACAAGATTAAAAATCTGATGGCTCTGAAGTTACTGTACAAAGTGTATAGACACAGAATGGATAGCAAGTGGGAAGAAAAGAATTAATTTATTTTTTTCTACAGGATATTCTAATTTTATCAGTTAAGCATGAAATATTTCCCAGATAATACATTGTCTAAGGAAATGAATTTAATTGAAAAGCATATTTTTTTGATTTTCTATTCCTTCCCTCATTGGATTGCATTTTCTGACACACTCTGGTTAATGACAACAACATTTGGGCGTGATACCAGGTGTTCTATGGTCAGTGCATTCTCCCTGTGATGCCACCTTCCTCAAATCTGCTTCTTTGGAATTACTCACAGATTGCAAGACTGGCACATGCCAGGATTGGACAAGAGTTTATCTATAGCATACATTGTTTCCTACCTCGAAGCCTTTGGTTTCTGACACATTTCTTGCCATTCCAAAATGTCTCAGTTGACACTGTCCAAATATTCAAAGCATAATGGGTGATAAAACATTGTGATTCTTTTCATGTTACTACTAGGGTTATCTTGCTCTTATAACTAGGTGATTTTACAGCTAGCAGTGTCCTTGGTAGTAAACTTCAGCTGTCATCAAATGTAAATTTTTCTCATACATGTGAGTTGAGAATCCAGTACACCAACAGAAAGAAGCTTCTTGCCAAACAGAAGTGTGGATCCTTTCAGAAAATATAAGTCAGTGTGGGTAAGCAGACACAACCTGAGAGATGACAGAAGTATCCACGGGACAAAAATCACTGATGTCCTTAAGGCCAAATGCAAAACCAATCCAGAGCTCAATTATGGCTGTCACTCAGGCCCCAATCTAGAGTTTAATATAGCCTGGAGTACGGTTCAGTGTTCAGCTTAAAGATGAAAAATTGAAAATGGAATGCATAGGGATGAAATTTTAAAGGAGTCATGTCTGGGAATGGCATTTCTATATTTCTACGACATCTACTACTTAAACATAGCACCTTTAAATTTTATGCTTTGTCTGGAAGCTAAGGAGGAGGGCAATACTATAGAAACCAACAGTCTCAACAAACCTGGTCTCCGGGATCTCTCAGCCACTGAACCACCAACCAGGAAGCATATACCAGCTGATATGAGGCCTCCAACACATATAAGGTAGAGAACTCCTAGGTCTGGACTCAGTGAGAGAAGATGAACGTAACCCTTAAGAGACTTGGAGCACCAGGGAGAAGGGGAGGTCTGGTGGTATGGGGTTGGGGTGGGGGTTGGGGCATCCTTTTCGAGATAGGGGTGAGGGTGAGGATGGGGGAGGAGGTGTGGGATGTGGAACAGTTGAAGGGTAGACCAGGAGGGGCATAAAGTCTGGACTGTAAAAAAAGATTAAAGAGTAAATAAGAAAAAAGAAAAAAAAAAGAAATATGCACTGTCACCTCAAAAGATAATTATTCTAAGGTTGTCATTGTTGTTCTATGTTGACACCAGATATCATCTGGTGCATTGGTGCATGGTACATACATTTTCCACACAGAATGAGAACATACATCTAGAACAGCTCCTTGTTATAGTGACAGAAATACATGGCTTGGAAGACATGCAGTTCCATGGATCACCCTTTTGAAAATATCCCCATATTGAGATAATATTTAGGTATGAGGAGGAAGCATGCAAAGTAACATCACACTCTTGATGCCAATGGAAATGCTGGGTAAATGGATCATTGGTAGTATTTTGATTTTCTGCCATGGAGGCAAAGGCCCAGGGAGAGCCCTGACTTCCCTTTTTTGGTTCAACACATCTTGCATTATGCAATTTCATACATTCATTCACTCATCCATCTGTTTTTTGATTAAAGACTATTAAATAAATGTGGAGAAAACACCAAAAGATAGCACAGGATTATAACTAAATACTTAACTGAAGAAACACATGGGAAGAAACAAAAATAGACAATTTGGAAGAATTTGGGGAAATTCAGAGCATTGAAGTGGTGATAGCTTGTACATGCCACCAACTAATCCCTCAAATACAAACAAAAAGTTCTCAACAAAATACTATCAAACTTTAGCCACCAGCACAAATAATGGATGATCCACTATAAGGAAAATTTATTCTAACAATTATTTTCACATGACAAAATAATGTATTAACTTCATATAAACTAATGTAAAATAGTTACATGATTCATTTGGAAATGTGATTGACTACAAACTGCCTCCATGTAACCTAGTAAAACAGAAGAGTCAGGATATGAAAACAAACAAAAAAACAGAATATATTATAAAGACAGAGAGGAAAAGCCTCTTCAGAATATTTGAAACTTGTGTAGAAAAATGATGGTGACTAATGAAAACAAAAACTAAACAGAACATAGCTTTAATTGGCTTCCCAATTAAAGAATCTTCTAAGACATAAGCCAGGCAGTCTTGGGGATAAAGATCTTGTACTCACTCCTACTTTCTAGCCTAACCCATAGTTTTTACAAGATTCAAAAACAACTGCATTATTTGGTGAGAAAGTAATTGGCTACAGGTTGGCCAGAAGTGGAGAGAAATTCCATTATTTCACTCTCTGTAACTCAGAGATAAGGGACAGCTGCTATCTTGAGAGATGACTCCTCCTTGGAAACTGACCTACCCTGCAGCTCCCAGGAGTAGCAGCTACAGAGACAGTCAGTAAGACTCCACCTAATCTGCCACAACCCTAGGCTGAGAGACAGCCCAGGGAGGCAACTATGGGAATAGACACTAGCAAGCCTGTAAAATGGCTCAGTAGACTCTGTCCAGAAGTAGTGTGATTAAGGAAAGGGCCACAATCTTAGTTGCTGGAAGCAGGTCTCCACTGAGACTAATACTGAAGTTATAATTAATTAATGTTTGATGGCATTGAGCCTTTGATCATTCTACTAGCCAGTCACTGCTATTGAGTCTAAAAACTCTGAAGCTTTTGAATCATACTCAATCCACACATACAGTATCAGGTCATGGAATTACAAAGACAGACAGACTTTCCACCTATGTAGATTGTATTGTCCAAATAACAACCAGGGATACTTACTGACTTAGCAATATTTTTACATTTTATTACTTTTACTAGCATTATCGAGGAGAATAAGGATCAAATTTAATTTTATTCATACCTTTAATCATTATTCAGTAAACTTTTTTCCTTTATTTTCTTTATTGTTCTTTTTGGTTTATGTACCCTGCGTTTTCCATGCATCAAAGAAATGCAACATGTGTTAAAAACAATAGGCAACACCTGAAAACTCCACAAAACAAAACAAAACAAAAATAATAAAAACAACTCACCTACTGAGTCCAGAGGTGAAATATTTAAAAAAAAAAGTACTCCCCTGGCTTCTCTCCACCAGCAGCAGGTACAAGAGCTAACCCAGGGATTTATGAGAATAAGGGGGCTGGCCCAGCCCCTTGCCTGCTGCAACACTTGGGATAACAGGACATACATGTCTCCTGGGCAGCAAAATAGAGCTGGCCCTACTAGATGGGTATGGGTGACCCAGCTGCAAGGGTGTGAGTGAGTGTAGGAGAGATTGTTTTGCTTCTTGGTTGCTGCAGCATTGGATAAGCTAGCTGAGGCAGATCTAGAGAGCTTGCCCTGGTGGTAATGGGTGCAGGATAGCTGGCAGGACAACCAGCTCAGTTACCACCCATGCCCAATTCCAGGGCTTTTAGTTTGCCCACCTCAACATTTACCTATTGAGGAATTGCTGGATCACATAAAGGGACTGGTCCTATAGACCCAAATCTGTTGGATTCCCATGACACAGGACAACAACAGGATATCCAAGAGGATTCCCAATGAGGATCCAGTATTGATACTGTAGCAGAAGCCAGAAAACTCGAATCAGACCTATGACTCATTGCAATGAATATTTGCAAGCAAAGAAGTGTGGTCTAAAGGGTATACTGCAGGACATACTGTGACACACTGCAGCTTCCACAATAACATTTTTCATACTTTGTTAAGGATGTGGAGATGAGTGAGATTGCTGTACACAATGCGAAATTCACAAAGAACCAATAAAAAAAATTAAAAATGTGGATGAAGATTTCAAACCTTCTCTAGTACAAATGAGCACTATCTTCAAAAATATTACAAATATAAATCCAATGCTGAGCTTGAAGAGGAAAGTCACCAGTGCAACAGAAAACAACAGCAAAATGGACAGGAAAATTAGTAATATTGATGAAAGAGTAAACAGTATGGAATGAAAATTCAGCAATTAAATTGTGATCTACAAACTAGGAGCTAATGACAAAATTAAGAAAATAATTTGTTGATAAAACAATAGAGTTATAATTAATTAATGCAAAACTGAGGATTGAGTTTTATATAATATGCTCATAAATTTTTTTAATGAGAACCTACAAAATTGTTTACTATATTTAATTTGGTGGTAAGAAGTCATAAATATTGAAGTATATGAGACAGAATAATCAACATTGTTTAAAAGGTACTTCATACTCACAAATT